GTGTTGCAGGTTTTTTTTTTGCCATCGATTTCCTATTTTAGTGCACTATGATCAGATATTATGCATGTGTTAATTTCACTTCCTTTGCATTTAGTTAAGAATGCTTTATGGGTTAATATTTGGTCTGTTATGGAGAATTTCCCATGTGCAGCTGAGAAGAATGGATACGCTTGATGTGGTTTTGTGGAATACTCTCTAACATCCACTAAGTCCATTTGCTCACAGGTATGATTCAGTTCTGTTGTTCCTTTGGTGACTTTTTGTCTAGTTGAGCTATCTCTTTGTGACAGTGGGGTGTTAAGATCTCCTTTTACAATTGCTTTCCCATGCCTTTGGGTTTTCATGTTCGTTAGTGTTTGTCTTATATAGTTGGGTCCTCCTGTATTTGGTGTGTATATTTTTTATATTTGTTCCTTTTAATCTTGTTGTTTTCCACTTACAATTATGTGGTGGCATATTACTAAGTTTTTGTTGGATTGTTGAACAGAACTGTTTGCAGTCTCGCTGTTTGAATTCCCAGTTTATATGTTCCATTTTGTATCTTGAACAACTATTTGTAATTGGATAGTATGTAAAAATCATCCAGTGATTTCTTACTGTTTATTTTTTCCTTAAACTTACATATTATTTGTACCCATTTGCTGTTTAGTTTAGTCTTACTTTAAATAAGATTAAAGAAAACAGCTATGTGGTGGCTTCTTTATCTCTTTTAACGATTTTTGATTTGAAGTTCACTTTGTCTGCAAACACAACAGCTACCCTTGCCTTTTTCTGGCTTCCTGTTTCATGGCATACTGTTTTCCACCCTTTGGTGTTTAACCCATGAGTTTCTGTTTGAGTCAGATGTGTTTCTCGTGTACAGCATATTGTGGGATCCTGTTTCTTGATCCATTCTTTCATTATGTTTCTTTTGACTGGTTAATTGAGCCCATTTATATTTATGGATATCACTAATACGTGCTGGCTTGACTTTGCCGTGTTGTGTTCCTATTGTTGGTTTCCTGCTTTCCTTCCTTGTTTAATTTCTTGTCCAGTCTGGTGGATTCTTGTTGTTGTTGTTAGTAGATTTTGGTCATTTTTATCTCTATCTAGTATGTCTTTCAGTACTCTTTCTAGGGTTGGTTTTGTGGATATGAATTTAGTCAGTTGTTTTTTGTCATGGAAGTATCTTTTTTCTGCAGTAGGTTTGAAGGACAGTTTTTCTAGGAACATCAGTCTGGGTTGAAAGTTGTTTTCTTTTAGTGCTTGAACTACTTCACTCCAAGTTGTTCTTACATTGGAGGTTTGTGCTGAAAAGTCTGCTGTGATTCTAATAGGATTCCCTTGATAGATGAGTTGTGTCTTTTCTCTAACAGCTTTCAGTATTCAGTTTTTATGCTGAGTGTCTTGGATCTTACTTATTACATGTCTGGGGTAAATTGTGTTGCTTGTGACTGTTGGCGTTCTGTATACCTCACTTTTCTGTATATCAGATTTTTTTCCCTTTGTGTGGGAAATTTCCTGCCATTACTCCTGTGTATATTTTAGTTATGTCATTTGCATTGACTCCTGCATCTTCACTGATGCCTATTAGCTTATGTTGTTTCTGTTGGCATCATGTTGAAGCTGCTGGATTGTCATTTCATGCTGCTTTTTGTTTTTATAAGTTCTAACCTTTTGTGATTGCTATCTGGGATCCAGTCCTCAAGGTCTGAAATTGTATCCTAATCTTCATTTAAACGGTTTTGTTAACAAGTAATTTTTTATTACTTGGATGACTCTTAGAATTTGTTTTATGGATTTTGCTTTTTGCATTGTTCATTCAGTTTCAATCAATTTCCCATGCTCCTGTATTTTTTGATCTATTTTTTCTTTAGCTATGATGGGCAACTTATTACCAAGGTTGTTATTTTTATGTTTACATAAGACATTATTTCTAATGTTATTTTTTCTATAGCCTCATGGATTTTTTTTTTCTTTACTTCATTTGCTCTCTTTTCAGAGATTCCTGGTGTGTGATTTTAAAGTCCTCTATTTCATTGTCACATGTACTTGCTCCTGATGGACTGGATGTTTGAAATAGCATTTTTTCCTCTTCATTTTGTCATTTTCACATTTTGGGTAAATATTTGGTCTTTCAATCCCAACAGTCTGAACTATCGGTAGTGGTAATTTTAGCGTCCTACTGTGCAGTTGATGTTTGACCAGTTTCTGGGTATCACAGTGAATAGAAGAGCCAGTCTCCTGAATTCCTCCTTCAGGGTCCCTTGGGTGAGTCCTATACTCTTACTAGACTAACCAACTAAAAGTATAGATGTAGATTAACTCTTAGTTCCTGCTGTTGCTATGTCTTCAGGTTGTTGCAGGTCACCAGCTCTCCCTGTCCATAGTGTTTGTTTTAGCTGAGGCCCTAATGTGTCAGCGGGGTCTCCTAAGCTCTTTTAATTTTCTCCAAGATGGGGAGACCTTAGTGGCACACTCCTCAACCTGTCTGATGTTCTCTGTGTGGAGGAGGGATTACCAACTCTCTTGCCAGGTTCATCAAGGTCTTCCCAATTGGAAGGAGTTTCACTTCTGCTCCTATTTGCCCATGGCAGACCTGTATTTTAGGGCCAAACTTGCCACACTGACTAGAGCCTGCTGAGGTCTTCTGTTTGGGTGAGGGGTTCCATAGTCTCCTATCCAGCCAGCACGGTAATGCACTGTAGTCCAAGTTCTGCAAGAAGGGGTTGAATGCAAAGACCAAATGAAGTACTAACTAGGTCCAGGTGTTGGCTGGATTCCCCAAAGAACAGCCCACCATGGCTGTCCTAGGTGATCCGTCATGCCACTGGTGTCCCAGATGTTCTGTGGAGGGGCAGGCCCAGCGGCAGCAGTCCCAAGGTAGCTAGGAGTGCTGGGGTGTCCCTGGTGTTACTTGGTGGCCGTATGAGGTGGATCGTTTTCCAGGGTGTCCCAGGTGTTCCCAGTGAGGGGTGGGCCCAATTTTGGCAGTCCTAAGTGGCCCAGGACTGCCTGGGCACCCCAGGCAGGTGTTCTTGTAGAAGGGTTGGCCCAGCAGGCGCCTAGGTCATCCTGGGGCTTCCCAGTTGTTCCTAGCATCCCAGATGTCCCTTGGGGAATGTTGGGTGTTAAGCATGGTGCAGAAACTGTGCTCCATGGTGGTATGGTGTGGTTCTCTGTCTTTGTGCTTTTAAAAACTTGAGTTGCAAGTTGGGAAGAATTAACTAATTAAATCTTCTACTTGATCTTTTTTTTGTGTGTGTGTTTGAGACAAGGTCTTGCTGTGTAGTTCAGGCTGGTCTTTAGTTCATTTTGTAGCCCAGGTGGTCTGAAACTTGCACCAAACCATCTAATTCAGCCTCCTGAGTTCTGGGATTACAGGAGTGTACCACCACTGCAGCATTTTAAAAATCTTTCTCTTCATAGACAAAACCTATTGTTCCATTTCATTCTTTAATATACTTTGTATTTTTTGAATTAAATTAAAATTTTGTTTGGTACCAGGGATCGAACTCAAGATTTTGCGTTTGTGAAGCCTGCACTTACACTGCTGAGCTAAACACCCGGCCTTCAACTAATACATTTTAATCAGTGGTTTCTCAAGTATCTTCTTATGTGCTTTCGTCTCTGAGACACACTATCTATCTGCGTTATGCTCAGTCTGCGTTATGCTCAGATGAATGAGTGAAGTACATTAATTAAGTATCCAGTGGCCTGGATCACGTCAGTTTCAAAGTTTCTTCGAGAATGCTTTCAAACCCAACAAGAATGACACAAAACCTTTACATGCTGGAGAACTATACTGTTATGTGAACAGAGAAGTAACAACGAATGTAACAGCTGTGTTGTAATCAAAGTAGTTTATTACTTTTTAAAAACATAAACATGGAAATGAAAAATAAATATAAAGTTTAGGATTCCCTCACAAAACTTCTGCAAGTAACATTCAAATCTTTAAGTCTGAAATTCTGTAAATAATTTTCTTTCGAGTTGGTAGGTTGTTGTATTCGAGAAGGAAAGAAATGTATTTCATGAGGCAAAACACTAACTTTTCTCTTTTAATTGATACCGGGTATCAAACTCATGACTGCCTGCTTGCAAGGCAGGTTCTTATGCAGCTGAGCTAAATCCCCAGCCCCAAAACACTAATTTTTAATACTGAGGTAACATTGTTCTAAGTTGTCTAAAATTACTTAATTTCTGTCCTTTAAAACCTATATTATAGGGGCTGCAGATTTAGCTCAGCGGCATAAGTGCCTGCCTTGCAAGCAGGCAGTCGTGAGTTCAATCCCCGGTACCAATAAAAAGGAAAAAAACAAAAACAAATAAATAAATAAATAAATAAAATAAAATAAAACCTATATTATGTCCCTAAGTTTTGTGTAATTTCTGTCTTAAATAATCGGGCTCCCAATGGGGGTACCTACTGCCAAGGTAACATGTAGGATAGGTTTCAAAATAAACTTTTATATCAAGTGCTGCTGTTGGGGTCCAATTTCTTTATAAAACATGCCAATTAATATTGCTCTTTAAACCCTGCTTCACCAAATCAAGAACCAAGAAATTTAGGTACTCAAAATAGAGATATTGCACAGCTCTTAAAGAACTCCTCAAAAACAAGAGGGAAACTCTTTGCATTATAAAACATCCCAAAAATCTTAGTGTCATTTCAAGCTTTGGTACTATGTATAAATACAGAAGTTAAAACATTATCATATATTATCTGGAAGTATTAACTTGGGAAATGTGAAAATTAAGCTTTTAACTTTTGTTGCAGTTCTGCTTTCTATCATTTTTTAAGAGACTAGAAAAAGTTTAGAATAAATGAATAATATTCTAAACTCACTGAACTGAAATATAGGAATAATGATTTGTATGTTTGCAGCTTTTCTACCTGCTCGAGTGCCTTAAAGGCACAAACATAGTAGCCAAAGCATAAAACTACTCTGAAAGTTTTGGGACACCTTGTACTTTACTATCTGTAGTGATTATTGAACCATCATATTGGTTCACATTATAGAAATATCTTCTGACATGTTTATTTAACAAAGGGAAATCATCAAAAATTATCAGCACCATTTTTAATTATCGTAATACTACGATAATCCTAAAAGTCTACAAAGCTATATAGTGGCAGGGGACATGAAAACTATACAAATAGTATTTAAAAAATCTACCTTAAACATTTATTAAAGTTTTAAACTAGCTTAAATGTATACTCTTAATCCTAAAACCTTGCAGAGTTCACAGGCATTGGCCTGTGAAGTAAGCGAATGGTTGTGTCAGCCAGGAGCTTCTGCTTTGTACTACTAGTAACTCTGCTCACATCAGTGAAGAAAGGAAGTGTGTTGCTGCTTTCACAAGGTCTCTTCCCATGCAATACAACTGTCACTGTCCAAAAGTTTCTGAAATTCAAGGTCTTTCCTTTTGGCAAAAATGTTCTCTTTGGATTTTTTTTTTTTTTTGCAAGACAGGTGGTCCATCTTGTGTAAGCGAGGGTCTAAGATGTCATAGCCCCCATCTCTCTCTTTTAAGACAGGATGGCTTTAGACAGTCGAATTCCAGTGAAGCTGTCATCACTGGAAGATTTTCTGATTTCACCTCTGTGCAAGCCTCCATCCTCACAGTATCTTGACATCGCCTAGGAAAGTTCATCAAAAGGAATACAGGAAAAAATTTTTAAAAGACAGAAACCTTAAAGAAAAAATAATCTAATCACAGAAGTTTAGTCATACAAACTTACTTTAGCTACTTCATGGTCACTGATGCTTTGGGTGTTTGAGACCTGCCCTGCCAGGTTAGGAGGCTGCTACAACCTGCCAATTCGCTAAAATTCTTTAATGATGATTCAATTACCAAGTAAGGGGACGTTTGTTCAGTTACAGTCTTTACAAATGGAGTTTTCAAAGGCGACAAAATTTGGTGATAGAATAAGCTACGAACAGCATTTTTTATCATGTAACTATATTAAAAATGATAAAGCTACATATGTGCAAAAGCAATGAGTAAATTCTGACCCAGCTATTCCAATGCTATCTGACCATTATTAGTCTCCAAACTCTAAGGTATTTCCTTGGAAGTTGTTATGAATTTAATGTAGAGCAGGAGAGTTCTGTAGCACCAAAGGATGCTTCTTCAAATTCACATGAGTTGTAGGAGCAAAATACATATTCCAAAATGGATAAGTCCTCAGTTTAAGAATGAGTTCTGTTCTGGGAGAATATTTCTGAGTCAGAATTATTTGTGAGTCCAACAAAATGAATCTTATAGTCATTGGACACAAATATACAATGTAAAGCACTGAAAAGGCAATCACCAGTGAAATAATCTTCATAATCTGCGAAAACCTGCAACTTAAATATTTGTAAGTTGAGGACTTACTGTGCCACCAACGCACTACAGAAAGTACCATTTGAATGTATGCATCCTTTTCAGGTATCAATTGTTTTGGTGGAGGATCACCAAAAGTCACAAACCATGTGCATTATTTTGCCTATGTAAACTGCCACTTCCCTTTAAAACTCATGTACTTCAAATTTCCACATGCACATCACATATCTTACATGTAGGCCTCTCATGTTAGCCACTAAGAATCTGTCTACTGAATACTTGGTCTTGAAGTAGGACAGCTGAATTCTGATATGAATTTTAAAATTGAGTAAAAAATAAGCACAAGTAATTAAGTGAACAGTATTTGTATACATCATAAAGAAAACAAGGCCAGGTAGTTTATCATGTGTGGCTATGGAGAAAGGTAGTGGTTCAAAAGGAAAAGCATTTTGATCAGAATAATGCTGATTAAAACTTTCTGAATTATGATCAAAGAAAATAGAACAGCTTTTAAATAATAATGTGGATCTCTATCTGAACCATTAAGAACTAAAATATATGACACACACTAAAGGTTTAGTAAACTCTTGAAAGTGTTAATTTCAAAACTTGCCATTTTCCTTAAGTACTTTATATGATATAGCCACAGATGCTGGTATTAGTGGCTCACAGAACACCCTATTTAGTGAAGGCACAGCCTTACTTCTATTTTCCGTGCTCTTTCTTTGGTGAGAGGTGCAGACACAAAATACATGTTGCTGTGATCTGCTAAAGAGCGAAGATCAAAGTAGTATTTGGCATAAGTGCTGGCAGACACATTAACATTAAACTCAAGCAGACACAAGTAATGCCTTTCCAGTTGATTTCTGTGGAGGAAGAACACAGAAAAATGAACATCAGACAATTTTGATCAAGTAGACTATCTTCGAAAATGTCATTTTGAGCTTCTAAGGACTGCTGTAAATTCTATTAAAAATTTTTATTTAAAGAAAAACAAAACAGTAAAAGGGTACAAGTAATACAGAATTTCAAAAAAACAAACAGTAAGAAATCAGTAGTTAATAGATTACATAATGTCATATTAGAAATAGTTGTTCAAGTTTCAAAATTAAAGCATACAAAGTGGACATTCAAACAGTGAGACTGCAAACAGTTGTGTTCAGTGATCCAACAAAAACTTTATCTTACATACGTAAACACACTTTCAGTTGTATCCTTTAGAGCCCTTTCTTCCCCTCACATTTTTACAATTATAATTTTCTTTTTTTTTATTTAAAGAAAAGGAAACTTAACAAAATACATGGATATAAAAAAGGGTAGAAATAATACAAAATTACAGACAAACAAAAGGTAAGAAATTGCCGGTTGATAAGTTACACATTGCCATCTTCGAAATAGCTATTCAGGTTATAGAATTAAAGTATTTAGAATGACATTCAAAAAAGTGACCCTACAAACCATTCTGCTCTATGATCGAACAATAGCTCGGTAATATGATTATCAGTCCTAAACATTTGTTTTACATCTCAAAGAGGGTAAGATTAACCATATCAAAACAGAACAGAACATTTAAAAAAAATAAAAAACAATTTAAAGAAATACGGATTTCAAAGCAAGTCCACTGGAGATCTTCATTATCTAACTGTCTCTAGCTTCTTACAAATAGTTGTCCCTATCTTCACCCACTTTATATATTTATTGCATATTTTAGAACTAATCAAATCATTACAGGATGATGAAGTCTTTTTAGGTCCTCAAGTTCCAAATTAGGGAAGACAATAGCAACTACCATCGCATCTCTCATTCTCTTTGTGATAGCAGTCCCCATCTCTGCATATGCTGAAGTTGAACTGCAGAAACCAGTCCAATGTCATTCTAATCAGCAAACAATAGACTGCTAGAATTTATATTATAATGCTACAAAATAAGCCTCGGGTTTCTCAGCGTCTCTTCCTCAGAGTATTTGTTCCTTACATCTTGCATTATCTTATCTGTTCCCATAAATAATTTAAGAAAAAAAAACCCATGTGTGAATTTCTACCTATATATCTATCCACTCTGTATTATAGGGAAAACCAAATCATAGCAAGACAGCAAAACACTTTCATAGAAAAACATGCAATGGATAAGACATATAAAACTACAATATAAATGATCTTCTGTAGCTACTATGTTTTCTCTTGTTATTTTCAATAGATTTGTTCGCAACACTGGCTTATTATAGTTAAACATACTATCACCTATTTTTATAAAAAGTTAACTTTGACTGCATTGTAGGATTTGAGAGCTGTTACTGATTCATACCAGTATGGATATCCTTTACATCTTGTCATGCTCAGAGTAGTTTCCTCTACTTTTAGGGTTGATTCTAACAAGCATACCAATTTCAAATAGTATCAGTCAAGGCCAACCAATAGTCTTATGATTCAGATACAATTAAGATCAGTCATAGTAAGACAATGTAATTAATACAGGATTTCAGCCTAAGTCAATAGGAAAGTAAGGATAGTTACCCTGGTATACCCTGCTATTTTTGGTTCTAGAGGTCTGTGTCCTCAAATCTGACATGAGTGGACAGACCAGAACAAATTAAATTCAATCTAAATATGGCACTAGGACTACTGTGTCTTTTAAATTGTTATACACCATTAGCAATGATCTCTGCTTTTTTTTTAAAATATAGTTTCAGAGATGTCTATACTAAAGACTAGCTTCCATCTCTGCCTCATGTCTGCTACTCCACTTTTCTGCTATAATTTGTCCACCTTATTCCCTCATTCCATTGTCTGCCCTGTTCACTGAGGCCTCTCTGCCACTGTTGCTGGAATCCTGATATCTCTTCCTCTCTTTCTCTGTAATGTCCTTCAGTGCTCTCTGTAGGGTTGAATTGGTGGCCACGAACTCCCACAGTTCCTCCTTGTCTTTAAAATATCTTATTCATTAATTTTTAGAGAGAGTTTTGATGGATATATGAACTTTGGTTGCATATTTTTTTCTTTCAGGAGTTGGAACATTTCTCCCCACTCCCTTCTTGACTTAAGAGTTTGTGTTGATAAGTCTGCTGTTATTTTGATAGATTTCCCGTTATAGGTATCCTGCATCTTTTCTCTGGCTGCTTTTAATATTCTGTTTGTTTTTTTTTTTTTTTTTTTTTTTTTTTTTTGGCGGATTTCTGGGATCTCGATTATTGTATGTCTAGGCGTAGATCTGTTTTGGTTGTAGGTAGCTGGTGTTCTGTATGCTTCTTTTATCTGGATATCATTTGTTTTTGCTATACATGGGAAATTTTGCTTTAATATATCTGTGAATATTTTTTTTATTTCATTTTTGGATGTTCCTGCTTCCTCACTCACATTCTTTAATCTTAGGTTATGTATCTTTTTGTCATCTTCCCATTTTAGAATTGCTTCTTTCTGGTTCCTTGTTATTTTTAAGAGGCTTTTTCTTTCACGTTCATATGCCCTAAATCTCTCTTCAAGTTTCAGAAGGCTGTCTTTAGTTTCTGTCAAGGCATTTTGCCAATGTTCAATGGAGTTTTTAGTTTCCTGATATTCGCTTTGGATCTGTTTCATGTATTCTAAGTTATGCTTAAATTCTTCTTCAGATGCTTGTCTTTCTTTTCTGATTTCCTCAGTTCTTCCATCTGTGTTCTGTTGGGCGGGGCTTGTCATTTCTTTAATTAATCTCTTTATATCTTGCCTCACTTGGTTCAGGAGTACAGCTTTAAATTCCTCTATGAGATCATGTAGGTACTTTTTAATTTCGGCTGATGCTGTGTCAAGTAGTGGATGGTTACTGTGCTTGTTCTCTTCAGTGTTTAGTTCTCCTGGGCTTATTTTCTCCTGTTGGGCAGCTGGAAATTTTTTTTTTTATTTTTATCTCTTGTCATGTTTCTGGTTTCTTTCAGACTGTCCTGGAGTTCTCTGGCCCTCTCCGAATTGCTTAGGGCCTTTCAGAAGCATGCTGGCTTGAGTTTTTGCTGTCCTCCCCAATTTACTGTTATCTGGGGTAGGCTGGGATGCAGGGGCGGTACAGGCTAGTCTCTAGCCTCTGTGCCAGTTAGTTCCTAAATTAGGCTGTACTTTCTGGTTGTCACTGAGTTGTGACTATTTTGTATCCACTTATTTGGCCCCAAGCAGAGGCTTGGTTTAGCCCCATTCTCTCCTGTAAGTTCTCTTTGTACCAGAAGCAGCTGAGTAATGTCACTATGGCACAGGGTTCTGCCCAAATCCCAGCCGTTCTCTTCCAATCCTCTCTGTGACAGGAGCACCAGAATAGCAGATCCGCCCAAAACCAAGATGTCTCCCACTAAGTTCTCTGTGTGGAGCTGAAGCCAGCAAGTAATCAGGCTCTGCCAGGATTCAAGATGTCTTCCACCAGCCCTCCCTACAGGGGGACCTGGTGATGTCACCACGCTGCAGGTTGTGCCGCCAGGCTAAAATGTCTGCACCAGACTCTGTGTTATTGATTTCCCCGTGGTGACGGGCCAGCTGTTCTCTGGCCAACCCCAGCGGCCGCGGGGTTCCCAGTACTCACCAGAGTCCGGTGCAGGTCCTCATTCCGGGACCACCGCACATCAAGCTGCCCACCTTTCCCGCACTCCTGGCACAGCGTGGAATGGTACACAGCGTGCACTCCCGGCACAGCATTGACTGGTCAGATATCTGTGCATTGTTTAGATTTTAAACGCCAGAGCTTTGTACATCTGCTCTGGTGCAGCGGTGCAGTCCTGGCTGCTACTTGGAGTCCCGGCCCGGGTCTCAGTTTCCCGCAGTCCCCAAAAGCAACTCAGCTTTTTCTGCTGGGTCCACGGGTCAGTTTGTTGATTTAAAGGTGTGGGATTAGCAGCCTCCCGTTATCAGCGTTCAGGGTCTCAGCACGACTTTAAATCCTCTAGCTGTACTGTCTTGGTTAATAAGAATCGCTATCAATTTGTCTGGCCCTCTCCATGTTGTCATTTTTAGCTTCTAGTATGTATTCTCTGGAGAGACTCTTCGCTCCATCCCCTAGCAAGCTGCCATTTTGAGACTTGTCTACAATTACAATTACACATTCTGGGTTTTACTACTCCCACAGTTCTTAATACTGACTGCTGTAAATTCTGAGATATAGGGAGGCTGCTTAACTGGGAAGAAAAACTACTCATGTGCCAACAGTCTGTTTTGAGTTGTTTCTGTATCCCAGCACTTTTGCATTTGGGTGGACAAGAATAGTTATAGCCTATTCATTACTGCCTGTTGCTGGCTCATGATTATTTCTTCAACGTCCAGCAGTGCATCGGTGTGACTCACGCTTCACACACATTCATCACTACAGAGAGCAGAGAAAAAAGTAAATGTATGCCAAGGTTAGCTCTCAAAAGCTTGCAGACATATTGAGGGGGAAGTAGAGGGGCACCAGGGAAAGATGCACCATTCTGCTCTCTGAGGGGGCAAACTCTTCAAGCATGTGTTCATCCTAAATTTGCAAGGAAGGGAAAAAAATTACACTATATGAGAAAGGCAATCCTTTTCCCTGTCTCAGCATATGAGACTATGATGAAAGGCTTCTTATTACTGGGGTAACAAATTGTGACCATGACAAGATACCCATTTTAAACTTTAGAGGATGGAAATGTCAAAGACAGTAGTCTTAGGTGGACTAAATCCCTTTTAGGACAAGAACTTCGTCAGAGCCCTCACACTCATGTTTCTGTGCTGGGGAAATCCAAGTTGATCAGTATCTGCCACCCCTCACCAGAAGAGAATGTACATGTGTGGGCATACACACATATGCACAAGCACATGCACATGCATGTGCACACACACGGGTGAGTTTAGTGCAGTGGAAAGAGAAATGACTGGGAAAAGCCCTGTGCTATGTGTCTATGCAGCTGCCTTTGCGCCTTCTATACACATAAAATCAGACCCCATCAGACTGATTTCTACCCACATACAACACTCCTAATAAGGGGTAGGCAGGCACAGGAGTCTGGAATAAATTCTGTTGTAAAGACCAGCTAAAGCAAAGGTACAACTTGTGACTTAGACTAAACCTATAGCCCCAAGGATATAACAGTGATCAAACATTTATTGCAAAAGTCAGACATGGTAGCCCTTAAAGAAGGGAATGGCGCTGAAAGCTGTTAAAAAGCCGTGAAGATAAACCCAGTAATATGTTGTAATGCTGGTAAGGTTATAAAATACTTGTCTGCAACCTCCAGAAAAAATTACGACTTATGAAGCATACCATTACAATAATAATCCATTAAAACTAATTAATGATGGAAAATATGAATTTCTATACTGTAGATTGACAGGGTATAATAGTTTTAAGCTCATTTTTATTTTCTATATAATGTAACATTTAAAATAAAATATTTCTTAAAATTCATGCCTTAAGGGAACAAGTGAACTGGAACATGGATAGAAAAGTCACCAAAACCTTTTAAACTCACATGTCTTGGAGTGCAAGGTTCTGGAGGATCCGGCAGAAGTATATGTTCCACACAGCCTTATCATGCCAAACCTTGAAGGCAAGAAGAATGGCTCCCAAGACAATCCTTTTCCAGTTGGTAGGACAGAGGTCAATCTTAGCATATGACATTAACCTTTCTAAGTAAACCTGCAAAGAGTAGAGTAGAGCACCGGTTTTTCAGTTTAGCTCTGTTTAAGTGCTTTGCTAAGAACTGTTGTGTATGATGTTTATTCTGTGATGAGAAAGGGAAGTGGGACTGAGAGATTGTGCTCAGCTAAAGCAAGATGTGAGGTCACAGCTGTAAATCAGACACGTCTGCTGCTCATGTAAATTTCCTACCCAGTTTTGCTGATTGGAATGCCTGGACATTGCAACAAAAGTCATCCAGCAGGTAGTATTGCTATCACCTCCACATTCGTGATGGGCACAGGTGTAAGTTTGTTCTGTAAATACCAAGTGCCACCAACATGCAATATAACATACAGGTGGTAGATACAAAATGGTTTTAGACACATTATAGTCAGCTGTGATACCTAACTCACAGTGAGCACATTTCATCTTTTCATTGTATTAAGCCTTTTGTGGCAATAACTGGTAGACAAAAGCACCTTCCCATGGCTGATGAGCAGAACAGCCTGAGAGGTGCAAGATTTACAGCTATGAAGTTTTTCTGAAATGCAGTACCTTTATAGTGAAGCCACATGTAAAACAAGATGGTCCTTCTTAGAGCCCTTTTTCATATTTCCACTATTCATGAATATCCATTTTCCTTCCTACATAATTAGCAACTTATTCAATTCTTTGGCTTTATGATGAGAAGAACAGCTGCTAGCCTGTAATGCTGTGACCCCTAAAGTTCCAGGCAGTTCATGACCTGACCTCAGGCACTGTTTACATATATCAAACATCTGTTCTACAAAGAACTAGGGTAGCAAACTGCTGAGTAAGGATTACAGAGGAAGCTGTTTGCTGTTACTTAAATCTGATCAATTCAAAAGTTTCCCTGATGCTCAAGTCTCCTAGATAAAAAGCTTAATATTTGTACATGTACCTATGCACATCCTTGTATACTTGAAATCATTTCTAGGCTATTACACTAAAAAAATTCAAGGTAAATTCCAAGTAAAGGTAGATACACTAGACATGTAAGCATTAAGGACAAAGGAAAAGAAGGCTGTAAAATTTCCCTAAATGGTGAAATTTTAGAAGCAGAGCTCATGGACTGGATATGCTACTTTAACTCTTTCTATCATGACTAAAAAGAAAAGGGCTGACTTTTAAGAGCATAGTTACAATCTGTAAGCTGTCAGGCTAGCAGTCCATATTAGGCAATATTCTTAAACCTTGACTGTATTCATTATCCAATACCTGCTCCCTTAGCTATTCTACATATGATACTGTTCCAGGATGCAACTCTTCTGTATATAAATGATGTGTGATAATGAAACAATGCTGGTCATCCTCAACCCCTGTTCATCATTTCCATGGCTTTGTTTTGGGTTAGTATTCATTTGTACCACTTGCCTGTTATGTGAGTGGACCACTGTTCTTTACTTTCAAACAAGGCAAACACTTCCATCAGTATTGGTGCCCCACCCAACTTCTGCTGGACACTAATTACCTCTTTCTGAAGACTTTCTACATCAAATGTTCCCCCGCCCCAACAGGTGGTTTACATTGCTCTCATCTCCCTTGCTGAAACACTAAGACTGCTACCTTTTACCTGGATCACTGTATTATGCCTATGCATATCCATCATTTCCCCTTCTTTCCTTTAACCATTTTTCCTGTATCACTGCACTCTTCTGGAACAGTCTTGCCAATCTGATTGTGGCATGTAAACTTACACACCAGTTATGCATTCTAACACTCCACTCTCCAACCCTCCTAATATGTAAGCAGAACTGCTCCTTGTCTCGTACTATGAACAAAATTTATACTTTGACATATTCCACACCAATCTATGCATACTTTCTGTTATCTCTACTTCCATTGGTAGCATGAAAGCTTTCTGTCCTGAGCTTTCATTTGTCTGTGGTCATCTGCATCACCACGTTGCTTGCTAACCCTCCATCTCTGCCTCTAATCCAAGCCCCACCTGCAGTTTACGTTCCCCAAGACAGTCTGGAAAGCCCTGACATGTAAGGAGCAATTCACTGGTAGATCAAGATCTACCAAATGATACCAATTAACCTCCCATGCTTTGCAAATGATGTGTGACGCTGAGAGAGTGATCCTTACCCACAGCATGCTAGTCACCCCGTTCTTACTTGAGCACATGAAACATGTTCCTGAACTAGGGGCCTGCATCTTACCCTCTTGAATGTAATGCATGAGCACCTTGCCTTCCCTGCTGCAGTCAGATTGTACTTCAAGCAAACTCTTCCTGGTCACTCTGCCTGAAACTGAAAGCTCTGAAATCACTCTTCAGCCTCCTAAAATGCTCTGTCTTCTTGACATTTACTGCAATATGAGATATTTATATACCTGAAAAATATCCCATGACTTTTTCACTAGATCATGAGCTCATAAACAGCAAGAACTTTGCTCTATCTCTTTGTTCTTCCCCAGCTTAAGTATCAGTGAGTATCTGTGAGTGTCAGTGCAACTTCTTAGCCTCATTTATGACTCTGACCACACCATCTCTCACCTTGATTTCTCTTTTCCCCTTTCTCCCATTGCTCTGGCTACTCCTTTGGAAACTTTTCCTTTAACTGCTAAGGACTCCTGCCCACTTTTCAATGAATTCATTCTGTATATTTGAACAGCCACCTTTCTTTACTTCTTAGTCACATTTCTGTGCCTGTACCCATACATCCAAAAGATATGAAGATATGCCCCAGTTATTTCAAGGAGCATCAAGCTTACCTTGTTTCCATGGACACTTCCACCTCCAACCCAGCTCTGCTTGCTGTGCTATCTATCTCTACAAATGGAAATGTCCCTGACGGGTTTCTGTTTCAACACAGGGCATGAGCTTCCTCTCCAAGCTCTTGACTAAATGCCATCAGAGCAACTACTGTCTTAAGTGTTTTTTGTCTTCAGGCTATGTATATGACTTTCCACTCTGCATTTGGTAGAGGAAGGACTAGAATAATCTCAAGCATTTCACCACTATTGTCGATGATAAAATCCCACCTTCCAACTTCTGTGTGGATAACACAAATATGAGGACATAGCTACAGTGTATCATGATAACAAAACTTTTTAAAGAACTACTGGCACTGTCACCCTGGGCAACTTCATGAATAGCCACAAGCTGTCAACAGGGATGTGTTGATACCCATACCCCAAAGACTAGAGAACTGAAGGCAGTGAATTGCCTGAAACACAGCCTGGGTCCTGTTTTGATCAGTCTAAAATCAGTGTCTGTGTCTCCTATGGTCCTGTTAATGCTCTCCTTCCCACCCGGCAGCATGTGTAAGTGTTCACAGTGTCAACTGTGTGTGTACTGATGTGTGTGTGGAAAACTCTTCAGCTTCCTTTAATTGCAGTTGTTTTGTGATGAGAAAATTAAAGACACCATTTTAAATGATAATGCCTAGGGAACCCAAATACATTTACTTTCTTTTGATAGGCTTTTTTATGGTTGTGTCTAGATGTCCACCCAAAGCCATGTGCATTCAGAGGACCTTTTTAGAGAAGGGTGAATCTAGATTATGGAATGCTGGGATTAAGGGTGTGTGATTGCTGGGTCAGATTATTGGTTGGATTGGCACTGCCCTAACTCCAGCCGACTCTATGAAATGTAAGAAACAGAAAGAAGCTTGTCTCTCCCTATTTCTCTTATTACTTTTGCTTTCTTCCACTGACATGGGCTGTTGCTTTTATGGTATGTTCCCCTGAACTTTGGAGCCAGTACATTATGGACTAAATCACTACAAATTGTGAGCTAAATGAACTTTTGCCCTTTTTACTTTGGGTGCCCTTTATTTTGTCTCAGCAATGAAAGAAATGTAACAAAGGCTGGTCTTAGTAAAGTTCTCATGATAATTTAAGGAATCTAACTTGAAAAAAGTGACTTTTATGTGTAAAAGACCATTTTCTATGCATGTTTGATAAAGAAGAAACATCTTACCAACGTCATTATTGCGCATTCAGTTGGTATGCATAGGGCATTAAAAATAATAGCAACAAATCTGTATATACATTCATGTTCAGGATCATGCTGAAAGTAGTCCTCTGGAAGCTTCTCTTCCTGAAAGGAGAAATGATGCAATGCAAGTATGTACTGAAGAAAGCTTTAAATATTCTTAAGACAGCAAAGTTCACCTTATGTTCACATGTTCCTTAAAATAATTTCCCATGGCTTGTGTGTCATTTCATCTTCTACTAGAAACACTGGGATCTTTTACTTTGCCCAGCAATGCTTTGGTCAGTGAGGATCACATATTCAACAGCAGCCCCATAATGACCACATGGTGCACCAGAGTCATCTTTGTTGTGTAAGCACACTCTGAGGTTTGCACAAGATTGGAATGACTTATCAATACATCTCTCAAAATGTACTCCATTAGTAAGAAGAAGAGAAGTGTGCAAGGTCGGAAAAATCAGTATTTCTTTCTACTGTGATTCACAACATTCTCAGATTCATTTATAGCCTTAAAGTCTTTTAAATTGTATGTTGTATTTCTTGGTACATGGCCTGGAGTGTAAAATATACAATTGTTGTCCTGCAGCCACAACCTCTTCTGCAAGTCAGCAGCCAGATGACGGTTGAGCAGTGAAAAGTGATAATATGCCTGAGGAACTGACTTTAAAGTTTACATCATTCAAACCTAACTCTTCCTCAGAGATTTCACCTATTCAGTAATGTGTATATCAGATTCTATTGAAAATTATTATTATTATTTTATTCAAAGAGAAGACAAAACAAAACAAAGCAGTAAAGGGTACAAGTAATACAGAATTTCTATACAAATATATGCAGTAAGAACTCCCTACTTAGTAGGTTACATATTTTCATCTTAGAAACAATTGTCCAAGGTACAATATTAAAGAATACAAAGTGGAAATTCATACAGTGAGACTGCAGACAGTTCTCTTCAATGGTCCAACAAAAACTCAGTAATAATGTTTCCTATGCTACACACGTAAATATACATGCAGTTATATCCTGTAGATCACTTTCTTTTCTTCTCTTTTTTACAACAACAATTACACTTTTCAGTTTTATTACTCCCACAGATCTTACAACTATTTTTTGAAGCGAAAAAAAGAACAAATGTGACAAAATGAAACAGAGTTAGTTAGAACAGAATGATGGACTTAGTACGTGATGCAAAAACAGAATAGCAGGTGATCAACAATGGTTACCAGTATGCCTCTTGGTATCTTATAAAGAGTTGTGTATATCATCAGGTATAATAAAATTGAGCAAAACAGTACAGAACAAGACCAATAAAACCTACATTGGAGACCTTACAGGACTTCAAAAGTAGATAATAGTGAAACCATAATGGCCATCATAGTAAATCTTATTGTCTTCAAAGTGGTTGCCTATATCCTCAAACTTGATACCATCAAACAAAACAGAATGGAGTGAAATAAATCAGACCAGGATAGGAGAGCAATACAGGTGCTCAAGAGAGGTTAATAGAAAAACAAAAATTTTACTATAATATATCAAACTATTTTTTAAATTGAGTTTTAAGTACCTCTTTCCTCAAAGATTTCACCTATTCATTAATGTGTATATCAGATTGTACTGAAAACTGTGTTTGAAAACCTACATTTTCTGATGTTGGAGTAGTACATTTATTCACTTTAGTTCAGTAATAGAGCTTTAAGCCACTTTTGCCCGTTTTGTAACCCTAAAGAACAGTTCTTTTCATAGAAGATGTCATACAACATGAGGTTGGAAAGCACATGATTTAAATTCAAATAGAAGTGTGTGATTTATTTCTGCACTTAATATCAAAAGAAAAAGCATCAAAGAAATGATTAGGTAAAAAATGATGGTCTTGTAATACTGACACTTACTGTGAGTGGGTGCAGTCTCTCATCAAAAATATCCAGGGATCTATTTGCATCTCTGTAAGGAAAAGTTCATCTAAGTCATTTATATCTTAGTTAAGTAACTGGTACGGATAGGGGACCATGGAGAAAGAGGCCTAACCTTCAACATATCAAACAGCTTTACAAGTTCTTCTCCTTGATTTTGACCTTAAGACATCGCTTTGTTTAGTGCTGTGTTCAAGTATTGTGAAGTCCTTTCTAAGATAACCAGACTAAGTTGCCTATAAGTAATGACACTTCCTTACAGGCAATGCTAGTAAACCAGCAGTGCTAGGTATTCAAACCTAGAAGTGTAGTAAATGTGAATGAGATTTAGATCTCCAAAGTTTTCTTTTCTTCAGTCCTCTATGTTTTCATCATGCATTTGTGTTTCTGTTGTTAAAAAATGTAGCAGCTTTTGTATAAGAGACCAGTATTGTCATTAAAGTATTATACTATGTTCCTATAAAGCAATGGTTTGCTGTGGTCTCTGGACCTCTGGAGATTCCTCAGTCTCATTTTCAGGAGGCTCAAGAGCTCAAACTGCTCTTACAATCATGAAGCAATTACTTATTTTTGGACTGTTGGTCACTTGTTATGCTTGTATAAAGTCAAAAGCAAAACTTACAATTTTGTAATGTGAACCAAGCCTGTGGCACCAAGTTACATCAGAGGTCATTGTATTTTTCATTGTCCCTTGCAGTTTAGTTTAAAAACCTTTTATACTTGCCCAAGATGAAACAGCAAAGAATAATGTTGGTAAATCTAGGATCATCTTTTTGATATTATGAATAAATGAAAAGTTCACATAAAGCATTTCTGCATACTGAAGTATGTTCTCAGAACTTCACTTCTGATTTAGTTGTGAGTTTAACAGTCTTTTTATCATATAACTTTATTTTTACATGAAACTAGATATATCAATAGAGAACATAATGGGCCTTCAAGAAAAGTGAAGAAATAGTTGTTGCCAATGTCAAATTCAAGCAGTGAATCTAAAACTTTGAGATTTATGGAAAATGTATACCTTCAAATCTTCCTATGACAGACCCTCAGTATCTGGAAGACTTTTTGCTAAGATTGGTGATGATAATAACAAAAATGTTCTGGATGTTGTAAAAACATCTGAATTGGTAATTTCAAAGCTCACTGATGTATATTATGAATCATGTACTGTTAAAGAATTGTTTACTGTGAAAGACACACCAAGAAGTGTTATTTTGTAGCAATTTCGGAGATACAATGTAAAATTCCTTTATACCCAACTTAAGAAACTAAGGGTTGCAGTGTGTGATGTAAAGTAAAAGACTATCCATAATGATCCATATTTCAAAAACACATTTATGTCCAAATATATATAACTACGTGATTGGTTATTATTGTTATTGTTTCTTCCAAAGGAACTGCCGAAGAATCAAGAAAAAAGTGAATTTAATTGTGTTCTATTCAGTCAAATGGGGACTTGTACATCAGTATAAATAGAGATACATTTTTCACCCAATGTAGAAAGGGAACAGAAATGTAAAAGAGTTATAAAAGATAGTCATTTTTGTTATGTGTGTTAACAATGTGGTTTTTAATTGTAGTGATCTTGTCCAACAGTAGACATTGTTTGTTATCACAAGATGAGGGAGAAAGTGACTGGCATCTACTAGGCAGAGGACAGCAGTCCTGTAACACATCCTACACTGCATAGGACAGCCCCACAACAAACAGTACCTGGCTTAAAATGTCAGTAGATCCACGATCAAGAAATGCTGTTAACACCTCCCGCCTGCACACACACAGGCACACATAAACACATATGCATTTAACTGTCACTCTTAATTTCTAAACAGAACACATCAATATAATCTATGGAAGCAAATATCCTTTGTGATCTTTAACAGAATATTTTTCAACAGACCTAATTATAATAACAAGAAACCTGAAATGACTTCCTTCCAACTATTAGTAAAAGCACAGTACAACCTCTGATGTTTGCAGCCAGGGCCTGATAATATATAGGTATTCTGTAAATTAAGTTGAAGTATAAGGCAAGATTTTAAGAGCTCACCTGTATTTTATGTGGTAATACACTGCCAACGTCATACTGTGGGAAGAAAAAAATATAGGTAATAACCAAGTTTATTGGTAAATTGAAGACAAATTTTCAAGGGGAACCTTCCCATAGACTTGTCTTCCAGTTATCAGAACAGTATCAATGGGTACTTGCCCCTGTTTCATTTAACTTGCTTATAGCGGACAGATGCCAAATGTTATGAAGTATGACATCAGGACATCTTTTTTAACTTTTTTATACATTATTATATTTTTCTCTTTCATTTGTGTTTTTACCCATATAATCTCTTTCCCTGCACAAATTCTACATATCTGCCCATATACTTAAAACTAAACCACATAATTTTTTTTAAAACTTTGAGGCCCGTGCATTTATTTCAGTTGACTTATTCATTATTCACCTGCCCATAATTTTCATTATTTCCCTGAAAGTAAATTATGAAAGTGCTGTATAGCAAAATGAAAATCATTCCTCCAATACAAGAAAAAATTATGTAGTAAATACAAGTGGCAACCAAACTGATAATACTTCTTTTATGCTGAAAAATCAGTGATAGTAATGCAGCCTACATCTGTACAGTACAATATTCATGGGAAATATTTCCAAATTCGTTTAAATAAAGTATTAATAGGCAGACACAACCCTTCAGATAGTACGTTGCTGTATCACTAAATTATGCATAGTTGCTGTTTATTAGGGTACAAAGGGATTCCCTTGAGTGAGTTATATGCTTTGATTTGCTCTCATTGTTTAAAAGGAAGCTTAACATCATCAAGGGAAGACAAAGCTGAATTTTAAAAGAAGTCCAGAATATGTTTAAAATTTAAATTCTCACATCATATGCATCATGGATGCATATTTTTATGGTATTTCAAACAGTTTATCTCCCAATTGAGTTTAATCAGAGACTGACCACCATACATTGAAAAGGTTCACCAAAACTTATTAGAAATTTCATCTAACAACCAACTGTTACAGATAAGGGAACCAAAGCTTGTCCAAAATCCCACCAAATAGTCAGAAGCAATTCTTTTCCTATATAGTATTCTCTGGATCAGTAGTTCCCAAACTTTCCTGCACACTGGAATCACCCAAGGAGATTTACAATGATCCATAATTCCAACTTGAGACATTATGATTAAGTGGCACAGGGAACAATTTGGTACAAAGAGTGTTTGAGAAGTTCCCCCAGGTGATTCCACTAGCAACAATGTTTGTGAATGCCTTAACAGTTAAATGTCACAATCATTGGGCATGCATTATGTACATTACTACATGGAAACTTCATCCTTGATTTTCTAAAGTGCTGTGAGTACCCACGAATGAAAGGGAAGATGAAAGTGGGAAAAATGCATGTGTTTCCAGACATATAATTTCATAAAGTTGCATCAGTGATTCTAACAAAGTTTATACATTTTATTAAGAACAATTAGGGTAGAGCTAAGTGGCACAACGACTGCCTGGCAAGCATAACACCCTGAGTTCGATTCCCAGTACAAAACCAAAAAAAGAAAGAAGAATGCACTATTACCCTATGGTAAACATCTCAAAGCCTTTCCTAGATGCCTAATGGGCCAATGCACTCTAAAAACCAAACCTGAAAACCAAAGTGACATTAGCAATATTCTATAGCAATGCTATGACATTAGCAATTCAGAATAGAAGTTGTGTGCCTGAATTTTGATGTTGGTATTTTAATAAGCTTGAAAGATTCCTATCAGGGTGTTTTCCTTGTGCATCTCTGATTATGAACCCATAGGTATGGGAAAGAGTACTGTAGGTAGGAAAGAATAAAATAGGGGAGGGGCTGGGGATTTAGCTCAGCGGCATAAGCGCCTGCCTTGCAAGCAGGCAGTCGTGAGTTCGATCCCTGGTACCCATAAAAATGAAAAAGACAAAAAAAAAAAAGAATAAAATAGGGGACTCCTTAGGTTTTCTGGCTAATCCTAAATAGAAGGAATTAAAACTCTCCTGGAAAAATTTCACTTGGAAATAATGTGAAGGAAAAAGGTAGTGAAAAAACAAAACAACAAAACATAAAGGCACCAAATGGCTTAGGGGCTTGTACCCAAAACCAGAGAAAGAGCTGACAAACAGAGTACAAAGAAAGTCTTGTACACAAAACCAAGGTAACCTTCCTTTTGTACTTCCAATAGAATTCAGGGAAGCAGACTGGGAAGAAGGAATGACTAACTCTGGGGGAAAACTTGTGTGTTCACACCTATGCACTAGCACACACACTTACACATTTGTGTTCACTCTAGGTTCAGCATATTGTCCACTCTAGGAGCACTATATCACTACAATAGACACACACACATCTCATTACTAACTCAAATGTAACAATGAATAAGGCACCTCTTAGTCAACCAGCTGTCCACCTTGGAGAAAAGGCCCTCTCAAGGACAAATAGAAGTTACAGAAAGCCCTCCAAAGCAATGACATAGGCAAGTGGACCTGGTCCAATACAAATAAATCCCTGGGAACCAAGAGGGTTATGGTAAGTTCTAGGCAGGGCAAAGTGTCCTTAGTACACAATAAAGGTATCCAGTAACAAAGGCGTATGGATCTTCCTTATTTTGGGGTCTCCCTGCCCTAACTCCTGTTAGGATGGCTATTTTCTCCCTTTCTATTGAAACATGCTTTCAAAACTTTGTATCTGTAATTTGTTATGGTATTGAGTTTATAATCCAGGTGAGCCGCTCACCCCAGTGCAGTGGTGCTCACACAGCACATGAGGTGACACTGCACATGTATTATGGCAAACATCCAAACGCTGGTACCTGGGGTGTCAACAGAGGAAAAGCAATTCTTTTTTCCAAGAGTCATTTCTAAACTGTTAAAGACTGTAACTCATAGAGAACTATCTTTTCTAGAAATATCCAAATAGAAAGCACCTGTTCTCTTTACATTTAACAGTGTCTTGCATCAAACATGTATACTCTAAAGAGGCACACTTTTCATGGGATTTTTTAGTTGCTAACTCATGTTCCCTTCTACCATGAGTAGATTAAAATAAAAATGGGAAATTCACAGTTAGGCCTTTAAAATCAATATGGATGTTTTGCTGCAATCTTTGAAAGTGGGCAAGGAAGAGAATAATCATATGGCTGAATTTACCCAACATGGCTGGAATGTTTTAACAGTAGGGGACCTGTCACTCAGGCCTCTACAGCATCCCTGTACTCACCATTGTACTATGTTTCTATGATTAGGCTTGCTGAGAGTGCTCTCATCCATCCATATTGAGGAGCAGGAGCTGTACTTCCTCGTAAGCTGACAGTAGAAGAAATTGTCACAGTAAGTTAGACTCCCAAATGTTGGGGCTGTTTCCTTGGTTAAAATGTCAAGTGACAAACCATGAAGGTATTTCTTACACTGCATGAAAGGTCTGAGAGCAGTGTCATGCATATGGGTCTGCAAAAAGTTACTGTGGGAGGCTGTTTATTTTCAGGGGTGTTGGAGGAGTAGGTTGTAAAATATAGCCCTTATTATTCTGCCTATTTTCAAATCTGACAAGCATTTAGTATACATCATTTTATAAATAGTATAAAAAGTTTAAAATAAGATTTTGGACTTTTAGCAAGAAAAACAGCTAAGATTTTCTATTTGTACTGTTAGTAACTAGAATAAAATGTAATGGCTTGCATAATATTGGCACAGTATTAACAGTATAGTACAACAAACAAAAGCTTAACTCTTAATTGATTAAGTGACACTAAGTGTGTTAATGTGATGAGACAAATATTTCACAGTCAAAGGACTGTGCCAGGCATGCTCAGTCACTAATAAGCCAGGGCCATAGTTCACCTGGACCTGTACCCTTACCAAGATTACACAAGATCTATGTGAAGATTCCCTCACATCTAAAATAGAGGACAAGAACAAACTTGAGAACTGAACATTCAGTTATTTTCTGGGTGGATTTCCATTGCATCACTTTGTGGAAAGCCTCAACACTCAAGATTACATCTAATTCTCTAAAGCTATCTGACACTTATCAGGACACATTTCCGCCTCATTCATGCTGTTCGCTGCCTGAGAAGCATTTTTCCGTGTTCATATCCTACAGATTTGACCCCATCTACATTCTGGAATATATCTGCCAACAGCTGCATCATAAAACATTTCTCAAAATGTGTTCCAGTGGCAGTGTAAGCGATTGAGCTTATTTAATTTTTTTCTCAGCATGGGAAAGACCTTAAAGGCATGACCCATTTTGTATAACTATATGAACATTCTGAGATGTTTAGACAACCTGTCTGGTGATATCAACAACACACAGCACTTCTGGGTGAGTACAATTGGTCCACAGGTGAATTCAGATCAAGAATTTAAGAATGAAACTGTCCATGCCCCATTTTCCCATTTCTAAAGATAACTAGAATAGCAAAAATATTCATAAACATTTCTAAGTGATGCTTAATCATTAAAATTTAAAAGAAAACAATTTTAACACACTAAATGTCTATCATTCTGGCTTATGTATACCTATAGTACACACAATATATACTGTAACAGACATTATTTTTTGACATACACTTATGTAATATGCAGTAATGTCAATCACTTAACCTTGAAAACAACTTCACTCATGAAATGGAAAACAATTATTCTTTGTGGTGAGTAGGAGTACTCCATTACCATAAAGGTTCAAACAGATTCATGCATTCACACTTAACAACAAAGTTAGGAAAACAAAAATAATTACACTACCAAAGCTGATCTTTTTGGTAATTACAGAGCCTGCTGAACATCTGCGAAAAAAGGACCAAAGGGATACCTCTTTTGTCAAAAAATAAAAATGCGGATGTCTGGAATCAATGAGGTATTCCCATGAAAAACGTCAATAATAAACATAAATCCTATTTTAAAAATTAATGTGACATTTACAAAGTATATTCATGCATCATTTTTCTTCCACTTTAGTTCACTTCGTACAGCTCAGACTGTCCCATTTTTCTTCCTGTGCTGCCACACTAAAATATATCAATATGTTGAATTATGTAGGTTTCCCCTGACAAATCTCAACCATTAGAGCTACATCCAGATGCTCCACCAACCTTCCTCGTAAGTATTTCAAGAACTTTCCTCTATTTTTAGTTTTAAAAAGCCTATCCAGATGAGATGTCATGGCACATGTTTGTTTCTGTGTGTATTTTGTGTGCACAAGTCAGCCAGAACCACATAACAGTGTGCAACCAGAGAGACAGAAGACATGCAAACAATCTTACACAGTGGTCCAAGTAACCCTAAATGTCTTAGATATCCAGATACTGAATTATCCTCTCAAAATAATCTCACCGCTGAGCAATGAGATAATGAGGTGATCTGTCACCACACTAACAATCAGTGACAGTTTTAGCAAATGAACACTAAAGCAGAATGTTGTGGCACTGTCATTACAGTGATAACGGAAGACACATAGTGGAAATAGTCACTGATCAAGGAACTGTGGGTTGGAATCCCTGTGACCTTAGAATCTTTCTAGAGGGCATTTGCATTGGCAGTGGAGTGTTGCTGGTTCGTGTGAAACCTTCAGACCATCTTTTCTATTATACTCCTCCATAATGTTTGGCTTTTTAGTGGTAATCTTTCAGCAAGCAAATTGTCTTTCCATCTTTGCAAGACATGGCTTAAGTGGCTCTTTCTTTCTGGACAAACTCAAAACATTTTAAATATTCTTTTGGGCCATTTGCTCTCAACAGAGATCTGGATGAAAGCCCTCAACAGTAACCATGCCACTACCTTAACATTGAACTGCCTTGAAATTTCTTCAACCAGATTAATTTAATTTCGGCCTTTCACAAAGCCTTTGAATATGAGCAAAGTGCAAACTAATTTTCTGCAAATGTAACACACACACACACACACACACACACACACTTTACATTTCCTATTACTCTCCCACTAGCCAGTTTTGAAACTGTTTTTTTTTTCACTTTTTTCAGTTTTAATAAAAAATACACAGCCGGTATCTCTAGGCCTTTCCAAATGATCTTACATGCCACTTATAAAGGCTTCGGAACCATATGGTCAGGTAGCAGCAACACAGCAATAACCCCACCTACCAGCACCAAACTCTTAGTTACTTTCTCTTCACTGGGAGAAATCACCTGACATCTACAAGTTAAAGGAATCCTTAGTCTATTGGAGACACATAGTTTTAAGGGTCTAAGTTAATACCATTATATGTATTTAATTTAAATACATTTGGTTATTGCTTACACTAGACGTTTCTTCTAACCCTCTAGTGCTTATAGTCTAGAGACTTCTGATGAGGTCACTGAATCATGGGTGTGTGACATTGAATTAGTTCCCTGAATGGTTTAGCATAGTTCTGTGTGGATAATTAGCATAGTTCTGGGTGTGAATGATGGGCTTAGTGGAGAGAGAAGATGCACCTGGGTTTGGGTGGCACCAACCGAGAGGCTTATAGCCTGAATCAAATAAAAAGTGAAAGGAGGAGGAAGTCTTGCTGCTTCTTACCTGCCATTCCATGCAGTGTATATTCGCTCTCAGGTTCCTCTGCCATGACTTCTTGCTTTGGGGCCAGATGACTGTGGACTCAAACTTCTACAAAATGTGAGCTAAAAGACACCTTACCTCCTTTAACTTGTGGGTGTTGAGTATTTTGTCCCAGCAATAAATAGGTAACTAAGACACACTTACACTTGAACTGCAAGTTTTAACTAAGTTAAAAATGGTGGAATGATTGAACATGCAGCTAGTTCAACTTGCTCCAGAAATATTACTTGAATTAAAGGATAAAATAAATGTTACACATGAGACCTGGATCCAGAATGGACATAATATTTGATGTGTGGAAACTGTAAGTTAAAGTACTGTTAACTCACATGGCAAAATATTAGGACACTCAGAGGCACAGAGCACCTTGGCATAAAGTGTGAAGCAGAGGCCATGAAAAACCATAGGAAATGAATGTAGAGCCAGTGTACACCTGTCCTCCATCTCTGCAGGTGCTATGCAGATACTACATTCCATAGACATTAAACCTGAGAGATATCAAGTACATCAATGCTGAGAGCTAGACATTAGTGGAGGAAACACTGTGTGATGAACAGTTTCAGGAAAGCAGGCAGCCTTGAATGTATTCCTCCAGCAGAGGGTGAGGAGCTTTTTCTCTGATATCAGGCTGTCCAAGAGATTTGGCCCCCAGGTGTTGCCCAAAGCCCTGCAAAGGAAAACCTGATTTCACTGCCAAATTCTCACAGTGGAGCCCAGTAGTTAAATGGAAGTTTTGCTCACATACAATAATTCAGTCCAGGGAATGCCAGGGTCACCCATGTATTTCAGGGAATCCTCTGACAAGAGAGATCATTGTAACAGGAACAAAGGAATTTGTGGGAGTGCTAGAAATTCAGGAGCAAATTAGAAGTTTAAAAGTATTTCAATACCAGGTTGAAAAAGTTCAATTCAAGGAATAACTAATATTTAATCAGAGCCCAGGGAAAAAGTCAAAAATGTAAAGAGGACGGAAATTTGACATTAGTGAAGAAGTACAAGTCTGAAAAATGCAATATTTGAATAAACAAACTATAAGAAAAACTAGAGGAAATATCAAGGACTTTAAAAGAAGAGGGAGTTTTCAGACTTTAAAGACCACCCCAAGGAGATGAAAAAGTCAATAACAAACCTGTCTGTTCTTTCAGCATCCCTAAGATAGAGATGCCTTTAAAAGCTTCCAGAGAAGGGGGCGTGGCTATAGCTGGTTATTTATGAGGTATGTAATATGGGGACAACAGAGTTAAGAGCAACACTAGAAATGAGAGGAGCTTTGTGAAAACTGGCATCAACCTGCAAATCTATGTTTTATTAAAAACTATATTTTGCTTTACAGGCTGGCTTCTTAAAATTATCTATTTGGCCTTTCACAAGAGAAAGTTTTCCAGTAGAACAGGGGAGCACAGGACAGAGGAAACAAAAGAATCTAGGACAGTGAGGACACTCACAACAGAGCCCTATGGAAGACAGACTTCAAGGAGCTATTCCAGGGAAAGTGAAGCAGCAGGCCTAAGGACAAGCCTGTCCCTCTAAGGTAGGAAAGCCTGTGAGGGCGGTCTCCTGTAGAAAACTGAAGCAAGGGTGTTTTAGAATGTGAACAATGTCCTGGCAGGCATGTGACTAATGTTACAGCATTGCAGGGATAGTTGTTAAGAAGACTGTCCCATTAAGAATAGAAAATTGACCTCCCTCAAAGAGGAAGAATGTGAAAACAGAAAGAGCGCTGGGGTTACTTATCGTACTTGGTTTTGTGAACTAATGCTCCTTAGGGATCATCCAGCAGCAGTGCAGAGCTGTGTACATTTCAGAAATATTTTAGATAAAGAATTAAATTGTACAAAGAGGCAGAACAGTGTGACTGTTATTACATAACCTAGCAGTAAACAATAGTCATAAATGATAATTAGTTATTTAGTTTAAAATATATGATCTAAATAAATACAAAAAACAAAAA